TTTTTTTTTTTTTTTTTGATTGTTCTTCCCTTTTCTCTCTCTCTCTAACGAAGGTGGCTTAGACCCTCCAACGATTCTGCGAGGTTTCCGCCGCGAAACCCCCCGGGGAGAGAGAGAGAGAGAGAGAGAGAAGGGAAGAGAGAGAGAGAGAGAGGCCGAAGAGAGAAATGTGTAATAGTTTTGCGAAGGCAGAACCAGAGAGGGCGATTTGTTTTGATGCTTCGCCGTGCAACGCCTTCCGTTGGGATTTGGATGGACCCGCCTAAACCATTTTCTCCCCTTACGTATTTTAGTTTCGATTTTATTTTTCTCCTTTTTTTTTTCTAAAATATTTTGCCAATTTTGGTTATTACAAAGACAAAATTATCATGTTACAATTTTTTTTTTATTTGAATTGAAAAAAATTTGCATGTTCAGAGTTTGTTGACGTGAATATTTTTTTTAGTTCAAGTGTTTGAACTTATAACTGTTTGGTTGTACTGAATGCTCAGACAGGAAAGTTGATTCATGGGTCGAGAATCTAGAAGCTCATAACTGTTTGGTTGTACCGAATGCTCAGACGGAAAAGTTGATTCATGGATATAGAATATAGAGGCTTATAACTCTTTGGTTGTACCGAATGCTTAGACGGAAAAGTTGATTCATGGGTCTAGAATCTAGAAGTTACTATGAGAAATCTTCTCTCTTGTTCACTCAAGGGTGCAGACACCCGTGCGAATTACAGGTGACAGTTACAAGAATGATGGAGATGTTCTGTTCGGCTCAAACTGACTCGTTATTTTTACTTAAAAATTTAAAAAATTTGATTATATCCAAAGTTTCAAAGGAGTATTATTAATATGGAACAAGAAAGCTAAACTTAATCAATTTATCCTTCTACCATTTCGATTGGATAAATAGACAATTATTCGAGAGAAAATTTTACAAGGATACAATGATGACTATATCCTTCAATTAAATTTAATGCAAATTATAATTTGATATGTAATTCAATTATAAATTCGAATTTCTATGTATAGCCATAGATATTATGTTGCTTTGTTGCACATTTGAGATTGAGAAGAATGTTCATTTTTAGGTTATGTGCACCATGACCAATCCAATAAGCTCATCCCTAATCAAAAAATGAATACATGCATATCTAATATCTAACATCTAACGATCTTCGATCTTCTCATGAACATGAATGATCTTCATCTGCATAAAAACCATAAATACTATGCTTTGATCTTCATCTTTATTCAGATCCTTCAGAAATATAAAGCAAATCAATTCAATCCAATTGAACCAGACACATTTATTAGATATAACAGGTCACATGCAACAACCCAAGTCCATCACTAGCAGATATTATTCTCTTTCGGCTTTTCCTTTCGAACTTCTTCGGAAGGTTTTTAAAACTCGTCTTTTAGAGAGATTTTCGCATGCTTGTAAAGAATGTTTCGTTCTCCTCCCTAACCAAGGTAGAACCTAACACTGCTAAAATCAACTGGCAAGGTAGAATTTACAAGTATAAAACACAACCGAAACTTCATCCCACATTCAAAAGACGAGCAGCCATTTTCTTCCCACATTCAAAAGAAGAGAATGAATAGAAAAACAGTATCAGTTGCTGATAATGAAAAGAAACCTGCCATTTTCTTCCCACAATCAAAAGAAGAGCAGCCATGGCAAATGCTAATCAGCATCATCTAACTCTCAGGAAGAAGATGCAGCTAGATGATAAACAGAACTATATAACATCTAGCTAAAGGCACAAACAAAAGAGCAGAGCTAAATCATTATTAATGTGTGTTATAAGCTTACAACAAAAGACGAAAATTTGGGCATCCACTAGAGCTCGATTCATACTGCTGCACCAACAAGACTTCAAACCGAATGCCCCGAGTTGTTACATATTCTGACGTGTCTGTCATTTCATGATTTCATCTGGGTATCAAAGATGACAATAAGACATGGTGATGAAACAAAACAAACACGAACAAATACTCGACTACTTTCGATGTTCACATGACGACGACCGTACTATAATAATTCAGTGGCAAGAACCCCAGTCCTTGCATTATGCCCATGGTCCTTAACCTACCCACCCACCCAAGGCAACTTGAAAAGAACAAAGCAAGAGGAAACAGGCAAGAAATCAGTCTCAAACAGAAAACTAAGAGTTTAGAGTTCTAACCTTATTTCAAAGAGCACGAGTCAGGTATCCCTACTCAAATACACCTTCTGAGAAAGCATTAACAGAAGAAGCCTCTACATTTTGAAGACCCACATAGGCAATTGATCTTCCTTCCATCAGCACTTTCAGGTGGGACTATTCCATAATCGAACGTCAACTCCATCATGGGAGGTACATGCCTGATTGCATGAAAGGCAATATGGACATCATGCTCGCCTTTATTTTCCCGAATAATTGGCTTCCAGTATACGTTTGGAGAGCAACTATGGTTCATAAAACGAGCGACATTGCCCACATTTTTTGCACTAATAACTAAGGGAAATGGGAGCCTAGGAGGCCCATCGGAATCACCAGATATAACTTCAAGGTTCGGATATGAACGTGTGGCATCGAAGATATAACCATCTTCATTGTCCCGTGCAGAGTCCTTTTCCTTTGAACTATCGATGACTTCCCCAGCATATTGGCAAATAAATGCTCCAGCACGAATCGGATCCCACGACCTTAGTCCCCAGCCTTTACCTTTAGTTCTGAATACCTCTAGGCGGAATTTAAGGCCTCCTTGGGACACACGATTCCTGCAATTGGGAGGGCATTGACATGAGGGTCCACATTCATAAATCATAGATTGTTGACTTGCAAGAACCCCATTTGAACCATAGGGGAGATATCCACCATTTTTCTGTATGCAAAGGCAATTGAGATTGCCTGGAAGGCATCCACCAACACAGTTACAACCAGCTGAAGGTTCCATCGAGTACACTGGTTTTAAATATTTGAGACCAGAATCATATGTGAAATACGCAGGGCCCTTCTCATCATCAACATCATTTACAAGTGAAACGGGTAAACTTTCTGCGCCAGAAGCCAGATCTGGTATTATAACCCCAACTCGAGAAGCATTCCCATCCTTCCATTGTTGTACTAATTTCCAAGTCAAAAATGCTTCCCGCTGTCCAGGTAATCGGACCAATTTGTATTTAAATACATTGCAGCCAGATTTCCCTTTCTCTACCCAAGATTCCTGGATTTTATATAGACCATCATAAACATAGATCTTCCCTGTTGGGTTACTAAAGTCTTTTACCCCTCGAATTACTCTGACTTCATTTCCACGATGCAAGCTCTTCTCTAGAGCAAGATTACCCCTTTCGAGCTTTTGATCTGTTGATTCCTTATCCTTTCTGTTCACTCCACCCTGACCACTGTAGATTAACACATCTGCATCATTAGTATCATCCTCGTATCCACCAGACGAGACAATGCTTACTGCAACTGGTTCTTCATCTTGACTGACCTTTAAACCCATGTAATCAATCCCAGCCATCGATGGAGCATGCAACCCGACCAGGCACAATTCCATCCTGAAAAAGAAGATATCACCAACTTCCACACCAGGAACTGTTCCAATCCTTTTATTGATATTTGACCTAATTCCTTTGGTCATCAGAAATGCACCTGTTTTTAGATCTGGACGCCTTATAATTCCAGGCGTTGGTTCCTTAGACTCTTCAACTTGTGAGATCCTTCTCCTTAGCAGTTCATATACCATGAGTACACTAGAAACTGCTTCGTTGCTACCATGAGTTTGTTGATTAGAATCTAACATTGAAAGATTGTACGATGAAACCATATCATTAAGCATTGCATCAATATCGATATCTGATGTAAAATTAATATCCTGACCATTCCTTGCCTTCTTCTTCGCCTTCTTCTTCCTTCCCGCTTTACTTGAATCTTCTCTATCATTTATACCCATGCCAAAATACTGAGAATCATCATTTTGACTATCACTATACCCTTGCAACTGGCCACGACTTCTAGCGTTTTTTCTAGAGCCAGTATTCTGTGTTGAAGTACCCTCAGTTGGTGTCCTGAATGACGAAATTGGAACTGCGGTTGATATAGGACTATTTAGACCAAAAGGTGCACTAGAATTCGGTGTTCCACCTGGTGTCTGTTGATTTTGTTCATTTGGTGAAAAGAAGAAGGGATAGAATGGAGCAACCCCAGGTGGAAAAGGACCAGAAGGACCAGTACACACAAATGGGGCAGCACCTTGAGGATTTGAAAAAGACGACACGTTTTGTGCTGATGGGAAGACTGGAACTAGTTGACGCAACGGTTTTACATTCAATACCTTAGATTTGTCTAATGACCCAGCGACGGGAATGGAATCCTGATCCAGATGTTGCTCCATTGAAGCCTTCTCACACTACAGAAATAAAATCTTACAAATAGAAGCTTCCACAGTAAAACTCTCTGTACATTATTTCCAAAACTACAAACTAAAACGAATAACTCCCATCAAAAGTTTTCAGGCTATCGTTCTCCCAAAATATTATCCCAATGGTCAATATGCTTAATTAAATAGCTTGAAACCTGAAAATTACAATAAACAATTACCATGCTGAAACGAAAAGACAGGGAACAGTCAATCCGAGAGAATTAAAACAAACAAGCTCAAATCAATTTATATGGAATATAAGGAGAAAAAATGTTTACACAACATGCAAGTGTAAACATCTGTATTTTTGGATTGTCTAAACTCTGTCTAATCAGTTCAATCCCTGTTTGCAGCTCTTAACTTCAAAAAACAAGGCCAAAATCTTCGATAAAATGCAACCAGATAAACTTTTTTCTTGTATAGTTAAGCTCTTATTCCAAAAACCTTTGTAATTATACTTCAACTCCAAACGGTCAGAATCGTATTGACACTCCAAAAGAAAAATAAAGCGGAAATGATAGCTACTCGACACTGAAAAAAAAACGCAATCCAATGAGAAACTCCCCAGCTTCCTTCTATTACCCTTAATGTTCTTCCTAACACACAAGCAAACAGAAACACAAAAACAAAACAATCTCATGATCCACGAAACACAAAATCAAAATGAAACAAAAAGAGAGGGAAAACCCTACTTTCGAAACAGGGAAAACATGGAAATGCGCTCAGATCAAATCAAAAAAAAAAAAACACGGAACAAATCACAGATCAAAAACGAAGAACAGACGAAAATCTAGAAGCCATAAGTCGAAACAAAACTCAAAATCTTACGAGATTCGCGGCGATTTACACACTCCGAAATCTTCAAAACCTCTCCGCTTGAACATGCGGGAGTTTCTCTGTTTGTCCTTTGGGGGAGCTTTTGAGTTTTGAGTTTTGAAGTTCGAATTTTCTACCCCGAGAAAAAGAGAGCAAAATTATTTCGCTTCCTGGTTTTATTGTTAATTTGTAATTTGTAATTTTTTTTTTCTGTGATTCCCCGCCAGCCGTTGGATGATTTGATCGTGGGAGACGATCGAACGGCTGAAATATATTCGGGAAGCATATTTAGAGTAACTCCAGCGGCCCCACCCCCACTTAAACGACAAAAAGTAGTGAGATGTATGACGTGTCGTGGTCATGTAGATCGGAAGCGTGGGATTGACCGTACCTGATCGTCAGCTTGTTCAGTGATCTAACTCGTAAATGGGCCGAAAACTGTTCGGCCCACACTGTTCTAGTGACGTGTACCACAAGCAACCAACCTACTTAGCCCTGATTGCATCCTTAACCTAATAAGTTATCATGAGTTTTTGCTCTCGGCTTTAGGAAGTTTGGACCTAGTTTTATAGCTATCTGAGCCTCCGGGAAGGCCTAAAGTTCTGAGCGATTCTCTTACTGCTCATAAACTCACTCTAGATTTGGAGGTGGTTCACCCATTTATGGTGTCGTGAATCATAGCTTGGGGTGAACTAACTTTACTATTTATGACATCTAGTTGGTCTAAACATCAGTCGTAGAAGGTTTAACTACAGGCCATCTACATGGTCATAGAGCCACTCTAGGTGAGGGGGTGCGGCGCTGTGTGCTTGCCAGTTACTAGGTCATCTATGTTGTCTCAAACCCCTCTCAAGAAATGTTTATAGTGTAGAGGCCCTTGGTCATTTCCACCATGTACGACACATGGTTGCCTCAATGCGCTAACTATTCGAACTAGGCCTGACTCGACGATACGTGAACTTCTACTACTTGGCAAGGTGCTACCAGCATTAAGGTTGTACCATAGGAGATAAGAAACTGAGACTCTAGTGAAGATTGTTCACACTACTACTAGGTATGATAAGCTTTTCTTCTAGTCGTCCTTGTCATGGAGATTTATTAGGTTCTTAAGGGTGTCTAGGTGATTAAAATCTCATCTAGCATTTTTAAAACACTCGGGACCTACTACTCAAGACTAATTCACTCTTTGGGAACACTTAGGTCTAGATAATAATCATCAATCACCTGAAGTATAGATCTCAATATCTCATCCTCTTTTCTAGCATTACAGAAAGCATTAAAATCGACATGCATCATAAATTCTCATCCTAGGGGTATTTCAGTAATTTTTATAATATACATAGTGTCACGGTCATGCTTGTCCAAAACATGTTGTCCATGGCCGCACGCCCGTGATACGTTGAAACCTTTGCCTTATACTACTTTATTGCTTTCTTTTACTGCTTTCATGTTGTATTATTTCTTTTCTGTTTTCATTAAGAGTATGACGTTTCAGCGATGTCATGGTTACGCCTAGTAGACATGAAATGCCTCAAAATGATTAGTTGTCAACTTCTCCTTACCCGATAGTTATATGCAGTAAGCCGTTATTGTTGTCTTTTTGCTTACATTCCCATATAACACAAATTTCAATTTCTCTCTCTTTTCCTTTCAAAACTCTCTTTCTAAAACCTATCTCCCCCTCTTTCTAAAATCTTCTCTTGAAATCGAGACCCAAGGTATGTATTCATGTTGCCTGACCGCAGGCAACGTAACTCGAAGTAGGCTTGACCCACTTAGTGCTGAGAGTGGGTACCGCACAATCGCCAAATCCGCTGCTTAGAAACTGCGATTGTGACACATAGCATTCTCATCCAAAATTTCCCTATCGAAGTTCTAATGATTGAACAAGTATTCCTTAAAGAAAGTTCAAACGATGCATTTTCGAGCTAGCTTTTTAGTGAAATCAAGGTTAGTATTGAAATCATGATTGAAAAACAATTAAAGAATTAAAAATAATAATTTATATATTTGAATTATAACGATTTAAATCAAATTATTTATAATAATTACAAAATGCATTTTTGTTTGAATTTTATTTTATTTTATTTTAGTTCATACAATAATACTGTTAAATTTTTTAAAATAGTTTCAAAAATACTTTTTAACTTTTTATAGGTTTTAACCCTATCTTTTTAACTTTTTAATATATTTATAAAATATTTTGAGCTTACCTTAAAATTTTTTTAAAAATTAAAAAAATATACTTACTATTAGTCTATGAATAGAACTATCCTACCTTGTTTCAAAAATAGTCGTGAACTTTTAAAAATATATATCCTTAAACTTTAAAAAAAAAAGTTCGAAGATCATCTATGAAGTGTAAATAAACGGTTTTCATCCGATGATAAGCTTATTAATGTTACTTTTAAAATTTTAGAACTATTTTTTAAGTATGGTAGTAATGGTAAGAGTATTTTTGAACGTATTAATTAAATTTATTTTTAAAACAAATACAAAAGTTTTCATACCAAACTAACCATAAGAGTATTTTTTTTATTTTTATAATAACCTTAAAATTAGGAAAAAGGAACGGAGAGAAATTGTCTCATGTTACTTAAGTTGAGAAGTAGGGATCTCGCCTTGGAGGGAAGTCCTCACTTCATTTTATCATCTCATTTGAACAGTTTGAAAGTTTGAAGCTAGTCTGAGAATATACTGTCTATCTGATTTGGGTCGGATATGCTCGAACCCTTTCTCTCTAGTTTCAACTCTTCAAAATTAGGCTTCATTAATTTAAATTATTAGGATTAAGTTGTTGTAAATTGTCATAAGGTCCTATTCTTTGGTACTTGTTTCTTTCTGCTCATATTTTTAGGTTCAAATTGTAAAGGCTATATAATACCATGCTTACGATTAATAAAATAGCACTTGAGATCAAAAAATATCTTAGTGTCTCTTTGTGTAATTCCGTTCATTGGTGCTGTGAGTACATTTGTTCTGCTTTCGGCGCACAATAAGTGGTATCTGAGCCTGATTGTGGTATTTGGGGTATTGTGAAAGTTTTGGCCTCATCGACTACTAGACATGCTCACAATCGTGCTTATTTTCTTGAAAAACAATTTTCAATAATTGTGTTTTTTTAGTTACATCCAGATTAATTATTGCAAATGGCGGAATCATTTGGAATTAAATCAAGGCGTGGATCGAGATTTTTGAGTTCCAATCTCGAAGTATAGAAATTTGATGGAACCAATAATTTTGGTGTTTGGCGAGGCGAAGTTAGCGATTTGCTGGTCATGCAAGATCTTGATGCTTCTCTCCAAGAGGAGATGCCTGAAGACATGACGTACGCCGAATTGACGAAATTAAATCGACAAGCTTGTGGAATTATTTGATCCTGTCTTGGCAAGGATCAGAAATATCCATTTATGAAGGTTACCATGGCGAAAGAATTATGGGACAAGCTTGAGGCGAAATATATGAAGAAGAGTGTGGAAAATAAACTCTATTTGAAGAAGAAACTCTTCCGTTTTGACTACAAGAAAGGTAACTCAATGGTTGAGCATTTGAACGATTTTAACAAAATCATCACTGATTTTCTCAATTTAGATGTTACAATTAATGACGAAGACAAGGCGTTGTTGTTGTTGAATTCTTTGCCGGAATCCTACAAGTTTTTAGTAACCATCTACTACATGGACTCACTGATCTTGTTTTTGAAAATGTTTTAAATGCCTTAATGAATAATGAGGTGCGAAAGAAGGGAAATGAGGCATATCAAGACTCTAGCACAAATATTTTCACTGCTCGTCGAAAGACTTCTACTTGGAAAAAGAACGAACGTGGAAAGTCCCGATCAAAGTCGAGAGGTAGATCTGATAATTGGAGAAAACTTGATAAAACTGAGTGTGCATATTGTTGACAGAAAGGCCATTGGAAGAAAGATTGCCCGATCTTAAAGGAGAAGAGGTCGAAATCTAATGTGGTTAGAGATGACGACACTGATACGATCTCTTTATCAGTCAGCCAAACCAGTGAATGGATTCTTGATTCTGGGTGCTCCTATCATATGTATCCCAACAAAGAGATGTTTTTGGACTTCAAAGAGTTCAATGGTGGAGTTGTGTATATGGGCAATGATAGTACTTGCAAGATAATGGGAATCGACTCAGTCCAAATCAAGATGTTTGATGGGGTTATACGAAAACTCAATGATGTGAGGTATGTCCTTGACTTGAAGAAAAATTTGATTTCCCTTGACATTTTTGGATGTGAGTGGTTATTGCATCATTTTGGAAGGAGGGAATTTGAAAGTAGCTCATGGAGCTTTGGTGGCAATTAAAGAAACTAGAAGAGGTAGCATATACTACCTCAACGGAACCACAATAATTGGGCATGAGACTTGGGCATGCTGGTGAGAAGGTGTTTTAGACATTGGGGAAACAAGGAGTCCTTAAGGGTGCCACAATTGGTAAAATTGATTTCTGTGAACATTGTATATTTGGTAAACAAAAAAAATGTGAAGTTTGATAGAGCTATACACCAAACAAAGGGCATTTTGGATTATGTTCACACCGATGTATGGGGTCCCACGAAGAATGTCTCATTGGGAGGAAAGAGGTGGTTTGTCACCTTTTTTATGATTACTCGAGGAGAGTTTTGATGTATCTCATGAGGCACATAAACGAGGTTCTCTAAATCTTCCTAGAGTGGAAAAAAATGGTAGAGAATCAGACGGACAGGAAAATCAAAAAGCTGAGATCAGACAATGGTGGAGAATATACTTATGATTCATTTCTTAAAGTATGCCGAGATGAAGGGATCATTCGACACTACACTGTTTCTGGTAAGCCACAACAAAATGGAGTTGCTGAGAGAATGAACCAGACATTAATAGAGAAGGTTTGATGCATATTATATCAAGTAGGATTGAGAAAGGCATTTTGGGCTGAGGCTCTCAGTTATGCAGTTCACTTAGTGAATCGTTTACCTGTTTCTGAAAATGGTGGGAAAACTCTGCTTGAGGTATGGTCGGGTATTTCTATTAGTGATTATGATAAATTGCATGTGTTTGGGTGTCCTACTTATTATCATGTGACAGACTCAAATCTAGATCCTAGAGCAAAAAAAAGCCAAGTTTATGGGCTTTAGCAAAGGCGTGAAGGGCTATAGG